TTCCATATTACTTTTAATAACGTCGGTGGCTCAGGGGTCAAGGCTTGCAATCTGCAAGTCCTGGGTTCGAATCCCGCCATGTACCAATGAGTTTTTCGATTTCCGATTTACATATGTACATTTATCCGACGTTCTTACGGTGAAGGAAAACATCGTGATGCAACCTGCACATATCTGAGAAGAAATTCAAAAGATATGTGTGAAGTCAACCAACCCGCAATTGGTCAGCGTGTTTGTCTGCGACCTAATCACCCTTAACTTAGGGTAGGTTTTGGAAAGTAATTCTTCAAAAACTTTTCCATCTGCGCGAAATCCAATAAGTAGATGTCGATCGCAACTCCGTCCGTGAGAAATTAAGAAAAAACTTAATAAATAGCCTATGTGTTCTTCCAGATTATGTTCAACATCTATACCAAATTTAATTAAGATCCATGTTGCCGTTCTGGAGATACCTTCAAACAAACATCCATCTAAACATTCGCATTTATAATATTAGTAACATTAACGAAATGTCTTGATCATGAATCAAGACATTTCGTTAATGTTTGCTAATGCTTTCTTAACAATTTAACATTATCTATCTTGCTTGTTTGCAAAAAATCTTAGTACAGAGTTGAGTGGTAGCAAATGATCGCAATTACTCGTCGACCGAGCACTTGTCCGGTGCACGAACATCTGAATCTATTATTCCGATTTTTACATTAGCCAGCATCTGGCTGAATGCCAGTTTAGAACTCATGTGCTTTTGCCTAGTGTTATTTGAACCTAGCCTAGGGGAGGGGTATGTCGATCGACAACCTGACATGCAACTGGATGCTGGGCAATAAACTGTATATCTCATATATAAAATTCTCGTGTCACAATTTTCGTTCGCATACTCCTCCGAAACGGCTTGACCGATTCTCATGAAATTTTTTGAGCATATTGAGTAGGTCTGAGGATCGGTCAACATCTATTTTTAATCTCGCGCGGACGGTGTCGCGGACGACAGCTAGTATTCCATAGATTTTTAGGTGTCGTATGACTTAAAACGTTCATATCTCTATTTCTTTTTAAATTAGGAAGGAGATGACAATTATTTTTGTCATCTACATTTAAATGATGGACCATAAAATAATAACTACAAACTTTCACATCAGAATTACTACGAGTATTTTCAACTCGAGAATTTTAAACGAACATTTTCGGTCGGAACAAAACATTAAAATCTTATAATTAACACAATACGCGGACAGAAATTCGATAAATAAACATTAAGTCACTCTGAGAGCTTTTTACTCGGCTTGTAAACACTGCAATGGGCATTAATTGCACATGTCATTCGTAAAAAAATACTGTAAAAACATTTCCAGAGTAAAAAGATTAAACAAGAAATTACCTTGCATTTGCAAACGTTTTATTACTACATGTCGCCCGCAACTCCGTTCGCATGGTATTAAAAAACCTAATTAATATAGCCTTCCTGACTATGTTCTAAATCTATTCCAAATTTCAGCGAGATACATACAGCCGTTTTATCATAGCTTAAAAAAATCGATCCAGCCATCCATCCAAACATTCGCATCTATGTAGACGTGGATCACATAATCAAGAACACTTAGAGTACTAATTAAATTTCCTTTAAATACGGACGGAGTCTCAGGCGACAGCTAGTTAAAGAATAAATATATGAAAGAAAATGAATGTACCAATTTATTATCAAATAGAAGTCTTATTTTAGTGAACAATATTAATTCAACTCGCTAATACCTGTCACTTGGAACACGAGGTAATTTCCAAGGACATAGTGATGGATTGACTGGGTAATATTACCAAGGCATATTAGAAAATACCGTCTTTGTTGTCTAGATTATTGAGGGATATAAATTATAAATTATTACATCAATGTCTATTAAATTAATTAAGAAAATCTTTATACTCCAAATTTAGTAGATCACGAGGACTTACAATTTTAGGGTTATGTAGCTCGAAAGGAAAAAACGAAACTCTTATAGGATCACTTTGTTATCAGTCTGACTGCCTGTCAAGACGCCTTTTTAATTAACAACAATGGTTAAGAGTACGGATTTTCGATCACGTGGTCGAGAGTTCGAATCCGGCCATAAGACTATTGTCGCAAACCATATCCTATCACAAGCCTAGAGCTTACTTGGAATGATACAAGAAATACTAGTGAATTCGCAAAAATCTGCTAATATTAAGAAGAAGAAAATATCTTAAGTAATTTTTTTTTATATCTGAAGGCGGCAAACGAACGTGCGGCCACCTGAAATCGTTGAAATAGCGAAGTGACCGTTGCCCATAGACATACGCAATTGCATATGTGTTGCCTACCTTTTATCGACGGAGGAGAGGGTGCACAGAAAGAAAATGTTTCCCCTCTCCATGCATCCTCTCATCCGGAAAGTCCACTTCCACTTCCCATCCCTTCCATATAAGAAAAGGGTGGGAAGGGAAAGAGGACTAAATTAGGCCTCCGGGACGCACACTCATCAGACGAAACGCGGAATGGCTTCCACTTCACGCCTGTTTTCTGTGTGGTGGTGGTATTTCACCGGGCGAACCTGGCCAATTCGTGCGAAGATCTTAAAGCGGGTTCTACCACTCTTAAGAATAGATAACATTGTTTCGCATAAACTCCTTAAACTATTAAAAATAACAAGAATACAATTATTGGAATAGCCACCAACTCAAGACAATATGGTTCAAACGCTGTTCTTAACAAATATTGAATAGAAGGAAGACGAGAAGACGTAGATCAAACTAATTACCCATAAGTATATAGTTCATTAACCCAAGCAATATAAATGTTGCCATGTTATTGACTTTTACATAAAAAATTTGTGCACGAACAGTTTCGAAAGGTACACGAACGAACGTTCAGATCTGTTCGTAAAGTACACCAAAAATCCCATATAAATTTATGAAGATGCGAAGGTAATACGAACGTCCTAGAATGGATCATCAGTCACATGTGACCACACACCGGTAAACAGAGAGTCGAGGGAACCAGAGGGGGTTTAGTGGGTAGGCTCCATGTCCCTTTAGGGATGTGGAGAGAGTCTGACATAACCGGAGTGTCTTTCCCCGAGGCACCAGGTATGCGCCACACATTCCCCCATCATGAATGGATCATCTTATACTCAAAGATGTCAATTAATTTGACCTAGTTCAACGTTGTCGTCTACCATCTCTTGATCAGCCTGTAAGACTAAGACCCAGTCCCTAACTTAGTGAGCTTAAGGCTCTCGATGTAACAGTATACAAGCTTAAGTCAAAGACTACAGTATGTTACTTGGACCACACCTAAAAGGTGGCATTTCGGTGGCATATCAATCATACTCGTAGGTGACGTCACATCGCCACCAAAGCGAGCGTTCAACTATGGAAAGTGTACGATATTCTATTTCAACGTTAAACTGTCAATGACATGAAAGGCCATCTTTATAACATAAATCTTATAGATTTTGTTCATTGAAACAAAATGAAGAGACACAAATTTGAATACTTACATGATTACACATGATTTAAAATTACAGAAAAGGAAATAAATATGTTCTCCTTTATAAAACTAATAAAAAATTAATGTTTTTTTATAGGATAAGGGGGGCGAACGAGCAACGAATCGCCTAATATTATTTGATCCGACGCTATACAGACAGACAGACGCCAGAGTAACAAACGAGCAAGCACTTGGAGTCGCCAAAATTTCGTGGGATACAGGTCACTAAGAACCTTTGCCTTTTAGATTAACTAAGAGTTAAGCGAAAAGAAAAAAGAATCTCGTGGGAAGTGTTAACAAAGAATATAATAAAATTGGGCATAGTGTTCAATGAAATAATATTGAATCTTACTACTATCTGTCGACTAATATTATAAATGCGAATGTTTAAACGGATAGATGGATAAATGGATGGATGTTTGTTTGAAGTTATCACCGGAACGGCTCAACGGATTTTGATATAATTTGGCACACATATAGATTATAGTCTGGAAGAACACATATGCTACTTTTTAAGTTTTTTTTTAAACTATGCGAGGAGGAAGACGCTGGCGACTGTTAGTTATAGAATAAACAAATTCGACTGCCGTGCTGCTGTTCAATTTATACAAACAGTTGAATTTCGATTCTAAATAGGAAGCCAATTTTTCGATTGTTTTAATTCTTTGATTGTTGGCAAAGTGATCAATTGAATTATTAATGGTTAGACGATTTTTCCTCGATGTGGGCTTTGTAGAAACTTTTTGCATGTTTCAAAAGGAACGCCTATTTATTTAGGACGACCCACTCTGATGTTCAGAGCGAATCGAAACTATAAACATGCTTGTTTAGAACAAATGAGCTTCCTTTTATATAAAATACTTGTTTGGCGACCTTTTTTACATTATCATATGAAAAACTATAGTATTTTTGATAAAATACAGTAAGAAACAAATCTATATTCCGATTTTGTTTAGAATAAATCTTTACAATTTAATTCATTACCTAGTTCTATTGAATATTTCTAAATACGATCTCCAAATCTAAATAAATAAAGATTATTAACCACTTTCAGTACTATCAAGTGATTAAACAAAACTTTGTCAGAAACCTTTGACTATATGTAAATGGATTAAGCAAAGAATCACCATTGGAAGTGTGGGAACAAATTATTGAAACGTATATTGATAACCTGGTGGGCCGATGACTTGAAGGTTGCGGGAGTGCACTGGATGCGGACGGCACAGCACCGAGCAATGTGTCAATCGATGGGGGAGGCATACGTACAGCAGTGGACAAATTAGAGCTGATGATATACAATGACCACACCAACATGAAACAATTGTTTTTTTATTTGGCAGAGAGAAATCTCGAGCTTAACAAGTCCATTCTCAATAGCAAATATCAGAAACCAAAGATGTCATGAACAAACTACTTGATGCAATTAAAACTAAATCATTGACATAAGTCTTAATCAAGAAGACTGACAGTAAGGTAACGTCAAAAAAATCTATCAAGTATGCATTCATCGTAAAAATTACAAACGAAATAATAATGTTTGATACTAATTAAAAGGTGTAATATTTTAGTATCAGAATTAGGTGAAAATATAAATGCGAGGCCAATGTATGATACGCCTTTGTGAAAACAAATGGGTATCTTGCATAGCAAGGCAGCTTGTCTGAAACGAAAAATTGACGAGTCTACTAGCAATTCAAGGTACGATTTAAATTCATAATTCACTTCTTTAGTCTCTTATCAATGTAAAAAAAATAATTACTTGAGGATAAAACTGAGATGTTTTAATAGTTAAGTTGTCACCAGTTTTACAAAAAACAAGTATTGTTAATTCTACTTACTACTTCTAAAATTGCATTTCAAAGGAAAATACATTTTTAAAGGAGAATATTTGAAGTTTAGAAACTCTAAATCAATGTCTTTTTACAGTTTATCTAATTTACGCTATATACTAAATGCTGATAAACCAAAATGGAATCCGTTTTGGAAAAGAAAGTAAGTACAGAAACGATAATATTTTACTAATAAAAATGGTCTTAAAGGTGAATCACAAGTTTGAAAATACCAATTTAAAGAGGCTCTAGAGGACAACATAACGATCGAATACAATGTCAAATCATTTCAAAAATATCTGAAAAATCTAATGATGAAAATTCCAAGGTTCCCAAAAATTCTGTCTTCTAAAACTAAATTTCTGGCCACGATTTTTCTTATAGGCCAGAAATTTGTTTAAATAGTTGAGCTTAATAAATGTTACTTTCCAGGATATCTCCGGTGCAAACGTTTTCAGCTACATCTCGTAAGCTAATGAAAGGATGTGTTTGTGGTAACATGAGGCCGTGCAAACAAAAGATAACACCAAAAGGGGTCATTATGCATTATCCAAAAAAGTAAGTTGTCAAAAAAATGTTTTTATATTATAAGGTGGCAAACGAGCGGTCACCTAAAATCGCTGAAATAGCGAAGTGACCGTTGCCCATAGACATACGTAATTGCATATTGCCTACCTTTAATCGACGGAGGAGATGATGCGCAGAAAGAAAATATTTTCCCTTCCCATGCATCCTCTCATCCGGAAAGTCCACTTCCACTTCCCATCCTTTCCTGATAAGAAAAAGGGTGGGAAGGGAAAGAGGACTAAATTAGGCCTCCGGGACGCACGCAAGATGTTAAAGCGGGCTCTACCACTGCTATTGAATTCAACAGTGTTAGACAAAATGCAGCCTCTTCAAAGCGATTCCATAGCGAACTTTAAAAATGTGTAGAACTGACAATAACTTTGGATAAATCTTGTGATTGTCGCGCGTCAGTTCCATACATTTTTGAAGTTCGTTATTGCTTTGAATGCACTTTGTCTAAACCCCTGTTCTACAATTAATTTTGGAAACCTGTAGAACCTAATATGAATAATCATTTTATAAGAAATTGTATCACATTTGTCTAAAAATTATTGTCCCCACAGGATTGTAACACATTTTCTGGTCTGGTTTCTTGGTTTTTATAATTAATTTATTGCAAACGACTTCGCCTAATGTCCTGTTTTAACTTAATACTATTATCCTTTTCCAGAAAAAAGGCATTTACCAACTTCCGACGAAGAAAGGAATTAACTCCCGAAAAACGTGGTCGCAATATAAAGTAAGAAGAAATTGAATATTTCATAGTATTTACTGCTTCAATTTTCTTCTATGTAAAGCTATGTAGTTAAGAATAGAACAATCATAACAGGTTGCAAAACACACGACAAGATGCCTGGACGAAACAAATTCTCATAGCCGCGGTCAATCGATCACAACTTATTTAACCTCAGAATGTTACAACGGGAATGAGGGAATGCTTTTTGGTCTAACAAAGTACAGTATACATTTAACCAAAAAAACTTTGATGGTTTATGAGGAAAGTTAAACTTTAGCCCAAATTTCATCCAGGCATCAAATATACAACTGTAAGGAAAGTACATGAAAATTATAGATGGAAATTAATGGTAAATGACGAGATTTTTGACCTTAAAAATTCTACTGATATAGTTACTTTGCTTAAACAGGATGGTAATGTTGTTACATAGCCCCATGTATGTAGTGGTAACCAACCTGCACTTGGCCAGCGTGGTTGACTATGGCCAATCACCCTTAACTTTGGGTAGGCTTCGAGCCCCTCGGTAGGGACGTATAGTGAGCTGATGATGATGTAGTGTCATACCGATGACCGGCACTAAACAGCTGGACCAATTTAGAAGAATGAAGTATCATTGGTACTCTTCCCCGGAATTTCAGAGTAGTTTTATAAAACTTGTTTTGTCTAAACTATGATATAGCTAACAATAACAATCTTATGCTCTCTTCTTTTGTTTTTTTTTGTATCATATTTCCTATCTACAAGTTTCATGTACTTTCACTTCAGGTGCCACAGCGTTGGGATGCCCTATAGGATCATTCAACTTATTTCATCAGCTGTACGTTATCTTATAATTATTTTGAGAATTATAGTGCCTTTTTCCATTAAGCTACTATCTCTGTGCGATAGCCATTTGTATTAGAATCGAAAGTGTTATGTTGGCTGTTGAAGCCACGACTGTTGTACAAAAAGATCGCGTGGGGTTAACAGGTTAATGGAAAATGTGTTTTAGAGACAGTAGAATTTTTTAAGGCAGGTTTTTATGGTGCATGATTCCGTCGATAGATAAATTATCATGGAAACAGTATCGTATTGTAGTTTTGATTTGAAGTCAAGCTTAACTTAAAGTTGTTCTAGTACATTTTAATAGTTTCTAGATATGCAGATTTCTGTTTGATGTAGTCTTGTTTTGAAAATTGTTTTGCAATATATATAGGGTGTCCCAAAAGGTTACGTACATAGGAAGGGGGATGATAGGGGTGGTCACAAGGGTAACCAGAAAAATAAAATAAAAATTCCCCTCTGGGTATTAAAAAAATTAAAGGCATTTTTTAAAAACTTAAAAATTTTACACCTTCTGGGGCAATTTTAATTTTCTTTAAAATCTTTGTTAGTTGTATTGTTTTTTTTTTATTTCATATTGATAAAAGGTTATTGACGATAACATAATAGCTTTTTTTTAATGTAGCAATATTTGTAGGTCATTGGTTACAAAATTGCCCCAGAAGGAGTAAAATTTTTAGGTCTTTAAAAATTGCCCTTTATTTTTTTCAATACCCAGAGGGGAATCTTATTTTTATTTTTCTGGTGACCCTTGTGACCACCCCTATCATCCCCCTTCCTATGTACGTAACCTTTTGGGACATCCTGTATAACTAGAAATTCAGTCTAGACTTTTCTGTTAATTTGACATTATGTTGTAAAATAACGAATTATAAAGATAATAATATAAATATATAATTTCTCTTTCTAGGCCTTGTATACAAAATAAAGTTGAATTTATAACACATAAGAAATTTCCTGCTTGGTAAAAAGACAAGAATTAGTAAGGTATGGTACGATTGTATTGTTTTATTTGAAAATGTTCACTTTAAGGCATCTTTAGTATCGTTTTTTTCGCATTTTCAGTGTTCTCTTATTCCTGTGTTGAAGATGTAATGTTGACCAGTTTAACTCGAATGATAATAAATATACACCTACAATTTCATTGTTTTTATTTTCCTCTCCTCTAAATTCTTTTAAATGTTAAAATGAAATGAGATGACGAAAAACAAATCATCACCAACCTGCCCTTATCCCTATCGAGGGTCGGCACAGTATGTACTACTCCTCCATACATCTCTATCAGTCATATCCGAGTCTACCCCATTCTTACGCATAACCTCTTTCACACAGTCATTCTATACTTTTGACGAAAAACAAATGAAGGTACGAATCAAAGCGTTCTACTATTTTTAACAATGAATTTAAACTGCTGGTAAATCTTTTTTTTATAAGAGAAGGGTGATCGACGACACTCATGGATATCTGCAACACCAGAGGAACTGTAGATGCGTTGCCGGCCTTTAAGGAAATGGTATGCTCGCTTCTTGAAGAACCCTAAGTCTTATAGGTTTGGAAAACAATCTATAAACAGGCTTATTATTATCTCTTTCTTTATCGAAGAAAAAGAAAGGGATAATATACTATGTACATATATTTCGGTAATGCAAATTCACAATCATATGTTATAATGATGGTGTGATTGTGATGGTGATATGATCATCAATGATGATGTAATGATGATAAAGATGATGATAATTATAGATTACGTCACGTTAAAACCGTAAAACCGTCCTGAGGTCTATAGTAAGTATAATATAATATTGACTATTTGATAATTTCGAGTTTACGCAACTATGGAATAATAGTGAATTCTCTAATTATATAAAGTATTCTGATAAAACGAATAACCACAAGCCTGTAGTAAAACATATGAGCAGTCTGTCCTTTAAGCAATTTACAGACTGAGAAAAAGATAAAAGGCGAAATATATTGGTAGCTAACAGATTGCGACAAGGGTTTCTTCTACGACACGATAGAAAGTCTAATAAAAATGATTCATATGTAAGAAAAATCTGAAGATTTATTAAAAATACATAGGTTTTTTTTATATGTTTTACTTAAGGCAAAATTTCACTTGTATTCAAACATACTTTACCCTTGTATCTTCAGAAAATCTGACAGAAGGCAATTTGTTTTTATGTAACTGTTCTAATAATAGAAACCCGTATTAAATTGTTCAAACTTTCGTGAGACATTATAATAAACTTATATTCGTCAGGTGCCGCCACCGGACGAATATACCTGAGTGTTTAGACGTTTTTATAAAAGTTTAGAAATCCATAGTTAGAGAAAATGCAAGAACTGCTACTGTTGATAGACTGTCCACCGCAATGTCCCAATCCGGTAATAACAACGAAGTAACGGCCCGAGCTACCTTTTTTTTGTTTCAGAGGGGAATGCTTCAGGCATACTCCGTGCCTCGGGGAAGCCATGGTAGTTATGTGGGATTCTCTCTCCGAATGGGAGCATACCCACTAAACCCCTCTGTTCCCTCATAGCCATAATGTGGGACGCCACGGGATCGTGTTAACTTACCACCGCGACGCCTCACTGTGCCCGAGATACCTGAGTCCTCGAGCTTAGTTACTCTTATACGAGGTTTTAGGCTTAGTGCCATCTGCGCTCGACCATCTCAAGCCCGGTGAAACTGTAAATGCCTCCTTAAGACAAGTGGCAATTCAGACAAAAAAAACCGCAATGTTAGATAAGTCTGTCGCACGATTGCAAGAGGGATGTCCAAATCAATTCTAACCCTTATTAATATTGGTCTTTATTAAATAAATCGGTCCGATTCTTTTCTGCTTCGACGTTACAATGTGACCCTCGTCAGTATCAGTGAGACGGCGATATAGAGCAACTTCTTATCTTTTTGTTTCAAGATTAAAGCGACAAATTGTCTTGTGAATCGAATATTTGTTAGAGTATTTTGTACCATAAAAATATATTTGTTACAAGCTGTCGACCGCGACTCCGTCCGCGATGATATATAAAAACTTTATATATAGATAAGTTAAATAAAAAGCAGCCCTTCAAAGCATTAATTCGACAAAAAATGAATAAATAATATCCTATGTCCGTCTACTGGCTCTAAGCTACCTCCTCACCAATTTTCAGCCATATCGGTAAAGCCGTTCTTGAGTTATAAATAGTGTAACTAACACGACTTTCTTTTATATATAGATTACCAATAAATTCTCGCATTTGGTTATTAAAAAAATAAAGTTTATGGTGCATTGGTATCAAGTGATTGAATTTTAGTAAGTATTACAATCAGGAATTTAAAAAAATGTATTGTTTAGAGAGCTATCGCTTATGATAATTTTCGGATCGAGTTCAAGACCTCGTAATAAAATCTTGCTAATATTATAAATGCGAATATTTAGATTGATGGATGGTTTGTTTGAAGGTATCTGCGGAACCGCTAAACAGATCTTGATAAAATTTGGCACTGATGTAGAACATAGTCTGGAAGATATCTTTGGGTCACCTTTATCACCGACTCTGGCGACCGCGGCGCCCTCTTAGGCCCTGCGCCCTGGGCGGCCGTACTATTTCGTCCTAACCTAACACTGTTACTGTTTAGGATTCACAACTGCTTCGACAATATTGTGACCAACATTTTTTTAATATTTGAGATTTTTTTTGTAAATTTACTCATATTTATTGTATCATTCCAATGAAGCTCGATGCTTCTGCTAGAGCATAGTTTACGACAATAGTCGAATAGCGGGTGTCGAAACCCCGACCTCGCGATCGGATATCCGTACCCTTTAACCATTAGGTTATTGACGCTTCAATCCACATCACTTTTCTCTTTTCTATTTTTCTATTCATAATCAGCTCACTATACGTCCCCACCGAGGGGCACGGAGCCTAACCTAAGTTAGGGATGATTAGGTCATAATCAACCACGCTGGCCCAGTGCAGGTTGACTTCACACACATCATGGAGTTTCTTCTCAGATATGTGCAGCATCACGATGTGTTCCTTCACCGTAAGAACGTCGGTTAAATTTACATATGTAAATCGGAAATCGAAAAACACATTGGTACATGACGGGAGTCCAACCCAGGACCTGCAGATTACAAGTCAAGTGCTTAAGCCTTTAGCCACCGACGCTCTTTCTATTAGTTATCAAAACGTTGTTAAAATTTTAACCATCGCAGTGATAGTTCAATCGGGGACGAGCGATTTCGCGCTTTTGTCTCTAAATTTACTTTGTTTACTAGTTTTCCTTTGTGTGTTCATTTCGTTGACATTCTCCATTGTTCGTCCAACAAAAGGTGCCGAGTCGATTCTCGTGTTTCAACTACGGTTCTATTTAATTTCAGTTTAACAAACAAAATATATTTTAGTGTACAAGTATCAGTATATTTCGTGGTGAACTTTAAAAGTTCAAAGCTAAATATTTTTTAAATAACTTGTTTTGTACGTAGTGGGTGTCCTACACACTTGTAGCAAAACTTATTGACATCTCTAAATCTGTTTTAGAAAACACAAAACAAAATACTATAACAGATGTTTGAACAGTAAGAATTTAACCCAAGGTATGTGTTAATTATAAAAGACTAACTGTCACCCGCGACTCCGTCCGAGTGGAATGTATTTAAAAAAAAACTTAATTAGTCAACTTCAACTTAGGGTAGGCTCCGAGCCCCTCAGTGGATACTTATAGTGAGCTGATGATGAGTTTTAGCATTTTAGGTGTGATAACATCAGTAAAATCGGGTACAGGTTTCTTATTACTTTTCCTAATAAACTTACATTTGTCTTAAAAAATGGTCCCAAACTTTTGTCCGAAAGTGTATTTGATGTCATCATCATCCTTCCCTTTTCAATACGGAGGGTCAGCACATTGTGAACTCCTCCATACATCTCTATCAGCTGTCATATGTGAAATCACCCCCTTTCTTACGCATATCCTCTTTCACACAATCCTACCTTTGTCCATTCACATTCAATCTTAACTTTCTTGTTTATGTAAACATCTTTCTCCATACAACCTTTTGCTTTTGAATTTCCGAACGTGTAATTCTGTGGCTTTGAAATTACCAAAACAATGATTCGTTGTTCTTTCCTGAAAAGTAATTTAAGTTTGCTCGACAAAACATTTGGCTGTTTATTAACAGCAAATAAGTAAACTCAACCAATGAACAACTTTAAATTGCTTATTCAAAAACAAACCGTATCAATTTTCTTATTTATATTTCCCACAATTATATCAAAAGTTAAAACAAGTTAAGAAAATTATGAAATTATAAACTTTATGTCGAATAAAAACAGACAAAATCATCAAGTGTTTTTAATTAAAAAATATATAATCACTTGTTTTGTTACTAAAGATAAAATCTTACTAAAATTATAAATGCGATTGTTTGGATGTTTGTTCTTGTCTCTCCAGAACGGCTGAACGGATCCTTATGAAATTTGGCACAGATGTAGAACATAAACTAGAAGAAATCATAGGCTACTTCTTATATAAAATTCTCGTCTCACAATTATCGTTCCCATACTCCTCCGAAACGGCTTGACCGATTCTCATGAAATTTTGTGAGCATATTGAGTAGGTCTGAGAATCGGCTAACATCTATTTTTAATCCCGCGCGGACGGAGTCGCAGGCGACAGCTAGTATTTATAGACATTATTAGTTAGAATCATTTGACGCGAATGACGTGCTTTCGTTACCAAGTCTAGTGTCAAAGAAACGTCGACATTTATTAAGGCCAATGTTGTGCCAGTACACCGGCACAGTGTCGAATTTCCTTCTTAACATTATGAAAATGTTTCTTTATTCCGCAAGGACAAAGCTGTGGGCGACAGCTAGTTTAAATATAGGGTAAATAACAAACTAAATGTATTAAAATAAAACACACAGTACATTCGCTTAGTGCATAATAATTAAAAGTAACTGTGATATTGCAGTAGTACTAAAAAGCATAAACTCCTGCCTTACGATAGCCGACGGTATCATAAACGTCAGTATGTCAAAAACATTTCTCAGTAAGGCAGGAAATATTACTGCCGCGCGTCGCCAAAGGGGTTTATTACGAAGACGCGGCCGCCGACAAAACTATCTTTGTGAAATTGTCTCTCATCTATAT